ATACATCAGTAGATGCTGAAGCGGAATTTTATATTATGTATTAAAAAAAACCGCGAAAAATGTACATCCTCACGAATTTATCTATATGAAAAAGCTTTTTTTTTGGTATTGTAATAAAAAGCAAAAGAATCAATCTGCATGAAAACAATCAAACTGCCCAGCTTAATCGTTGTGGAGTTTTATCAAAGTTACATTCTAAAAAGACATCATTATTATCATCAACCCATTTATATGTCCCACTGCTGGGCACGGTAAATTACTCCAGCGTACCTTTTGGATCATGTCACGACTCGAATATCCTCTATGAATATCACCTTCGATGAATACGGATGCTGATGCCGATGCGGATATTTTAATTCATGCAGATTATCAGCGAACGCGGCAACTGATATTCGCAACAGCCCAGATACATACATGTCTGTCACTACTTTTATTAAAAAATTACTATACTTCTTAACATAAATAACATTTTCGTACCGTTGGGTCACCGAGGTTGAAAAGTATATATCAATAAGTTCATTAATATTATTATTTCGAATATTCTAGACTGTTGCCCGCAAACGACAGACGTTTTTTACTTATCTGCCAAAATGTCGAATTGCACTCGAAAAACATTCGTAATCAACGCGCCTGGAGTTTTGACAGTTCGATGGACAAAGAAGTCCGTCGTCTACACTGACATCCTTCGGGTACTTTGAAATTTGTTCCATTCAAATATTTATCGAATGACTCCTGTTCTATATTCTGCAAACCCTAACCTAAAAATACAATTCAATAACGTTATTGTATGATAGTAGAGTACGAAGGTATAGCAACTATTCCTAATTAACTAAATTGTGCATTTCTTAGGAAATGAAACTATTTTTCCGGATTTAAATCGCGTATATTTGTTTTTTCAAACAAACCGGCATTTCGGGCTCTTTGCAGGTCTCACGGCCTGCCTGGTCACGGTTGACTGTGTGACTGTGATACATAGGACCTGTAAAGGGCCCGAAACGTCGGTTGGTTTGAAAAAAACAAATATACGCGATTTAAATCCGGAAAAACAGTTTCATTTCCGATGTGTAACAATCGAGAAAAACCTAAGAACTCGATTTGCATTTCTTATTAACACACTCGCATAATACATCCACTTCACATGTATATAATTTTGTTTAACTCGCGATACAGGGAAGCTCTATATCGCGGGTGCCATGGACACACACATAGACAACCACAACACCCAAACTCTTGGAAGCAGTAGCCGTAGAGCTCCTTGTGAAAGAGTTTGTTCAGGGACCTTAAAATTTCTGTCGCCAAGCAGTAATGTGAACATTACTGTGTTCCGGTTTGGAAGGATAAGGGTGCTGGTGAAATTACAGGCACATGGCAACTTATGTGTCAGGGTGACGGGCACAGTGGTAGTGCCCCTAAGATCTTTGCTATTTAAAGCTTCCAGTGGCACTGCTACTGTTATGGATAGACGTGTCGCTTACCAGCAGGCGCGCGTCTTCTTCGTCACGTCACTTGGTATTACAAAAAAAAAACTCCCGAGAGAAATAAATGTAGGTCATACAAATATTTTTCTCGGCGCGGTCGAATCCCGCCCGGGACCTCTGCGTGGCAGTCCAGCATGGTAACCGTTCCTAGCTTTTATTTTAATAAGTTTATTCACCTAGGGAGTATAAGTTTCATTATACCAGGTGTGGTGCCTGGTGACGATGAAATACATTTATATAATTTTGTTTATCTACACACATTTCATAAACTCTATATAATATGTTCAGAAACCGCAAATTACGACCAGCATAAAGGTAAACTGTTTTGTTAGAACAAATTTCTTATCTGCGAAAATGTTATTATTGCTTCATAATAACGTCGAATTCGATGTATTATTACATTCAAATTTCGACCATCTCTGAAAAACAAAACAATTTGATTGGACCTCAATTCTAATATCAGTCGAGATGAAGTTTTATTCGAAATAAAATGTCAATAACAAAAAATTTTGCCAATGTCACACGTTACTTGATATCGAACAATGTGATAGTTGGGGCCGATTCTAGTTTGTCTATGAATTAAAAATAAAAACTACAGTTGTGTGACATGCGTGAAAAAAGTTTTTATTTGCCGCCATTTCGCCAGTCGTAACATGCGGTTCCGGAACACATCACAGAGAGCTTATAATATGTGTGTAGATAAAGCATTGTATGTAACTGTACAATAATTAGGCGTTAAAACGCTCGTGAGATATCGTCATGAAACCCACACTCGTGTTTTAATGTCTTTGATTACGTAACAATCACGTAAACTACTATTATTCGGACGCACACATAGAACAGAGTTCCTAGGTGTACCGATTTGAGACAAAATAAGCTGGAAAGCGCAATTAGAGATTATTTGCACTGACCTCAATATTTTTGCATACACGTTATATATGCTTAGCAAAAAAGTAGATAAATATTCGGTTTTTCAAGCATACCACGGTTATGTTGCTACTTATTAAGATATGGTATAATATTCTGGGACAATGCAACTAAACTCATTTTTTAAGGTACAAAAGGGATGTGTCAGAGAGAAAACTTTATGCCATTATTATTTTAACCAACGTATAAGTAAAAAAAAACCGTAGCTCTGATCTCAAAAAATTATGACTACTTTGGGAAACAAGCAATTTTGCGGGTTGTATATATGCTTATTTCTATACGTATGTATATATACTTTCATGAAAATGTTTGCTGTTTTTTCACGAGATATTGCGTGATCGCATTACGATACAAGTGCTGATAAATATTCTAAAACTATAGCTGTTGCGAATATTATTTTTAACATACGGGTCCAGTATTTGATAAATAAGCATCCCATAAAGCAGTTTTAAATAAAATATATGTTATCTGAAAAGAAATTATGTTTTGGGGTCTAAAGGGTCGTATTCTAGAACTCTACTCAATGCTCAAGTCAGGACTTGAGTATTGCAGTGAGCACTGAAAATCATACTCAAGTCCTTGCCATTAGGGTCGCATTTCCAATGCTTGAAATCATACTCAAGTCTGCACAAATCCTGACTTGAGCATTGAGTACAGTTCTGGAATACGACCCTAAGAGTCGTATTCCAGAACTCTTCTCAATGCTCAAGTTAGGATTTGAGCAGACTTGAGTATGATTTCAAGCACTGGAAATACGACTCAAATGGCAAGGACTTGAGTATGATTTCTAGTGCTTTGAATCATACTCAAATCCTAACTTGAGCATTGAGTGGAGTTTTAGAATACGACTCTAAATCACGTTTATACTTGTTTTTTTTCAACAAAATCAAAACAGCTGAGTGAAGAAATTGATTTCTGACACGGCGCAACGGCAAAAAAGTCGTTAAAAACCAAAAACAAGATCTGCAACAAGCACATAGAATAATCCTTAATCGCTAGTTCGTTCCGTGGCTTAGTTGACATAGCGTCTAGCACGGTTTGTTGGAAGACGCTAGTTCGAGTCCAGCCGAATCAAAGGAATTTTTTCTTAATGTTCGATCTTTGTTAATAATTATAACAAACTAACGGAGTAATTTCACAAAAACAATTGAATATCATAGCAGGCAAATATCGTGACAATAAAAAAAACTTAAAAAATTAAAATCAAAACAACTTGATTTATATTTTATCTCTTTTCAAAATACTAATAAAATTAAAAACAAAACACTATTAATATTTCCATTGCACGCAGCGATAAACAAAACACGTAGTTAGTTTCAAATTATTTACTGGAAATAACGTACACAACGCGCAAAAATAAATAAATAGAAAGGTCTAATTCGTAAAATAAGACCTTGGTCGCGGGATATAAGAAAATAGATTCGTAATTCGAGTGCCACGGAACTGGGACCCTACTATTGAGCATGAAATCCGTGGTTACGGCCGTTTTCCCTCTATGGATGACCTACAGACCTTAGTTTTGATCTGTGCTAAAACTAAGAATGTGTGACAACGCGCGTGGTTTCCAACGGGCTCGTCTTTTCGTTGACGGACTTCGAGAGTAGTCCCGAAGGTTATTCCTATAGGGCCCATTCCACTAGTCCCTACCAGCTGTCCCCTCTAGTGGAGACAAGTGGATTTTTTCCACTCTTCCCTACCAGACTGTCACTGGTAGTGGGACACAGGCCATAATTACGGAAATCAGAAATCAGAAATCAGAAACATTTATTGTACGAATTGGTAAAATACAGGTGTTACTTACTAGTGATTAGATCTACAATTCTTACCCAAATCAGGCGTACAATGTCTTAAAATTACAATTCAATTAAAATTTATTACAACTTAAATGTCAAAAATTAAAATTATAATTAAGTTAGTTATACAATTGTCAAATATTTGATGTCTTTATATAAAATTCTTTAAGATTGTAAAAAACTTTGTCAATTAACCATTTTTTTAAACAAGCTTTAAATTTATCACCATTTAAACATTTCATTTCCATTGGAAGTCTGTTATAAATTCTAATTCTACGGATTTCATGGTTCGTGATTAGAGCCCCTGTATAGTCTTGTCAGGTATATGGAGCACTAAGAAGACGAAAATAATATTGACAGTGTGAGCCTAGTGGAAAAAATCCTTAGGTTCAGGGTCCCTGATGATTACTGCAACAGGCGACGTGGTGTGCCCCTCCTGGCAATCGAGCCCTCTCGCACTGAACTGCACCGACACTCGCCTATTCCACGCACGACTGCACTCCTCAACTCCATGCTCGCAGCATCGCCGCAGTGTGATGTGTTTGTGACTGGGATAGAGAGACTGATGACGGAATGGAAGAGAGTCTTGGAGAGATGTATGAATGAATTAGTAAGTAGATAATTTTAAGTTTATTTTATTGTATTATTTCTTTTTTGTTTTGTGTATTTGTTTTTTCTTTTTAAATTGTTATTAATTGAATTGTCGTAACGCCATGGTGCAAACTGTTATGTTACACATTTTGTCTATTAATAAATAAATAAATAAATAAACAAAAATAAATAAATAAATAAATAAATTTCACTACACTGTGGTCACTTCAACGTACGGGTCACAATTCCATTCGATAGCAGAAAAGTTGCTCCACACGAAATTTCCTTTCATCGACAACGGCGCTTCCATTGCCAAATATAATATCGCTTTAGCGCCTTCTTCGAACATCTTAGCAGTCTTTCTTTTCTCACGAATCTTCGATAGTCCAGGATTTATACAATTGATCACTATACCATTATCACTCCATTGTCTATGTTGTAAAAACGTGACCGCGTTCAAGGCAACCTTGGAGACAGCATGGACGTTAAGCCCCCATCCTTCAGTTTTTTCAATACCTCTTCTAGCAGCTTCTTCGTAATCTTGCATTACCATTACTAGTTCATCTTCTGTCAAAGTTGGATCACTCATTCTCTTTCTTATCTTCTCATTTTCTATTGTAGCGAGTAACCCCGCAGGTCCTGATACATTGATCACCCTTGCGTTTTCATTTAATAGGGGATATATTAATTTTCCAAAGTTTATGTAACCGTAAAAATTCACGGCCAATGTCCTTCTGACTTTTTCAATACTGGTTAAATTCTTTACGGGGACGTAATCGGAGATGTTAATTATTAAGTCTATTCTCTCATCTCGATCTTGAATGTAATGCCTTAAATTAATAATACTTTTGGTGTATGTTATATCCATTTTAATATATTCAATGTTGTTGTATTTTTCCAGATTCTTGAGAATATTGTAGCCTGTTGTTTCATCGTCGGTAGTGAAATATATTTTCGATTTAAAGATCTTTGTTAGTTTTTTCAAAACTTGATATCCTAAGTTACTGTCAGCACTAACAACAAGCGCAACCCCGTCCATGGCCACAATAATACTGGCTTTGGTACTGTAGAAAATCCTTATCAGTTTATCAAGTATCAAATCCCGTGGTATGAAAATGACAGGTAACCGTATTGTGTAAGTAAGATAACATATGTCAAAAGATAACGTTGATTTTCATACGGTGTAAGGATGCTGCAAACTTCATTGTGTAACACATCATACTGTAAAGGAAAATTGAAAAGAAAATATCTGAAAACTTAAGGTCACATCACATTGCTGTTATCCGACGTGTGAGATAATAAACGACCGTGAATGAGTCTAAAAATGCATTAAGGTCGATGACTGCTATTTATTAGGTTTATTCCAAATAAACTTTTCCAAAATCCAATCTGAATACTAAATCAGATTCTAATAACAAATGAAAATTGAATTTAATGTAATTTCATTTTAAGTACCACTTTGGAAATAATGTTGATTTTTAGAGAATTTTCAATCTATAGTTTTGTTTACGTGTTTGTTTTTTTACGTAACATTAGCGCACAACTAAAGTACATGTAAACTTGATTTATAATCGATTACGTAAATTCTCTTATTCAAATAGAACAGCCAGTATCGATAACATCTAATTTCAAGCTAATTTAGTTAGTAAATCTGATACAGAGAGCGAATACGATAATGATTGCAATGTCTTAGACCGTAGGTAGATACGATTATCGCGATTGATTATAAATGTTATGGTGTGTAATTAATATCATATAACTTAAGGAAAAAAGGGCGTGAGCGACAATCAACCAGACTTGATCAATTGGTAAAGAGGTCGTTGATACTATAGATGGGTACGGTAGATATAGATTTAATAGCAGTGCAGCTCCTTGCGAACGAGTTCGTCCAAGACGTAACCTCACCTATTCCTGCCGCCAAGCAGTAATGTCAGCATTACTGTGTTCCGGTTTTGAAGGAAAAGGGTGCTGGTAAAATTACAGACACATGGGACTGTTTGTCAACTTATGTCTCAGAGTGATGGGCACAGTGACAGTGCCCCTCAGATCTTTGCGATTTAAAGTCTGCGTGGCAGTGCAACTGTTATGGACAGGCGTGTAGCTTACTATCAGACGCATGATTTGTTCGTCCCTTCACTTGATATTATAAAAAAATAGCCTGTATACATAAAAAAATAAGAAAAATAAGACAATTTCTAATAATGGAGAATTACATTTCGCCTAGTGTAACGCAGTGTTATTTATACATGTGACCAAATATTTGTACAAACATTGGTCTAAATATTCCGGGTCAGTTGAAATAGCCGATAAATATTTATTGCTGCTTACGAAATTGTCGCCTCTGTTATTTTTTCAATCTATTTTTACATGAGCGATGCTATCGGGGAACGTGAGAGGAAATGATGATCCCGACTCTATATTTTGATGTTCTATCGTTACATAAAACGGTAAAATAATAATATAGAAACTTCATGGAATGATTACAATTTTTAGATATTAATGAAAGATGTTTTTTGTTTCGTTTTCTCTGTGTATAGGAAACTAGGAAAAATAAATCTCGCGACAGACAAAATAATTTCACTTCGAAAACTGCCGTATTCCGTCGTAATGTATATCTTAATGTGAAGCATATTTAGCCCTTTGCAGCACCATAGAACGTAAGTTATAATTTTGGTGATATAAATCGTGACACTCTGAATCTCAAAATTAGGAAAGAGTCGGCACTGTCCATCTAAAGTATAATGCATTCGAAACATTTTAGATTCCCCTCTGAAGAACTTTATGTATTCGATGAGTTATTGATAGTTACAAAAATATATGTCAAAAGTACACAAAGAAGGATGGCGACATCTAAACATTTTTGTGACATTGTGTTTTACTTTTTACTTTAGGTCATTACTGCTTAATTGATTATTTGATTAGGTATTTTCATCGAGTATATAACTAGAAATAGAGACGAAATATGGGCCATATATTCCTGGTAACACATTAGCGATACAGCTCTTATAAATATCAACTCTCGTTTGCACTGAAACATAGACAGGTCAACTACTGACCTGTGTGTACGTCTCCGTACATTCCAAAAAATATTCTCTGTTTATTGTTATAAAGATAATATCTCTAACAATGCCATGCTGTTCTATTCGGTGGTGTAGGAAAAACAGCAAAACATCTAGTTACAAAACAAACGAAATCACATTTCATCGGTAATTAAATATTAAATATGTAGTTTTGCAATTTTCGTCCATTATAGCAAAGCTCAAGTTAACTGGTCGATTTGAAGTGAAACAGTTAACGATGCCCATTGACGACACCCGTCAATTGTTTCGAACTCTGGCTCTGGCAGTAATGTTATGGCAGAATAGTTTTCAAACAAATTAAATGACATTTCGTCTCTATTTCTGGTTATATACTCGATGGGTATTTTATAGCTTTAATGTTTACGTGTGTATTATAAAATAACCAATACTATAGGTAGGTGAACATTAAATCATTCCTACAATGAGACGCACGTACAACAACGTTACGTATATGGTCAAACTGAATCAATTGAGTTGTGTTCTTGCGTCTATTGTAAGATAGTGTTTTGAAATTTCTTTATTCCCGACTTTCCCGACCGATTCCCTCGTAAAATTATACTAACAAAGTCCATGAACGGCACTTCGTTGATTTTGGGTCAGCTTTCGCCTTCCTTCTTTTTGTTCAATATAAACATAGTTATGCAGTCACACTCTCATAAATACGAGCGCATGCGCGCATTTCAGTATGGTCACGTGTAAGTTAATTTGAATTAATTTTGTCTTCTATTTTGTCTTTTGTTCTTAATAAAGCATTGTATGAGTTGAAGTTGACCTTTGTTTGCATCGTATACCGATATTTTCAAGAAACGTCGTTTTTATTGTTATTGAATCAAACTATGCTGTAGTCACATCATCATCTCTCATATACAGCCTAATTTCACCCACTGCTGGGTATAGACCTCCCGAAGTTTGTGCCATCCACCACGGTCCCTTACTAGCCACCTTGCAACAGGGCGCCCAACGCTTCTTTTGCCCCTCCTCGGCCACCAATCACTCGATGTCTTGCTCCACCTTGCCTTGCTAGATGTCCCGCCCGGCCCCATTTGAGTTACATGATCCGAGTTCCAGCATCCTGGACTTTCGTCCGTCATCGGATTTCAACGTTCGGAACCCGGTCTACAAGGTTGATGCCGATCATGGCGCGCTCCACGGCCCGCTGTGCAACTCTCAACCTGTATACGGTCTCTTGCGTGAGTGCCCATGTCTCGGCATTATACGTGATGGTGGGCAGAACACACTGATTAAACAAGTGGGTCTTCAGACACTGTGGAACCTTATCTGGCTTTCAAATTACAAATTACATTCATTCATGCTAAATGGGATATACTAACCACAAAGACAATACAGTCAACTAATAAACGTAATAACAAAATGTAATAACAAAACAGTCAACTTCCATCTAATATAGTTCTATTAAAAAGATGCAAAAACATTAATGTGCGAAACAATTACAGTAGCGACTGACATTACTGCCTCTGTGGCCGACCAGTTAGTTACCTTACTGGCTCGCCACGCAGAGGTTCTGGGCTCGGTTTGGGTGTCAATTGTGGTTGTCTATGTGTGTGACCATCGCGATGCAGGGTTTCCCTAGTGCGGGGCTATTAATGTGCGCGTTATTTATTTTTATTTATTTTATTAGTGAGTATCTGAGGAACTCTACCGTTCACCTCACTCAATAGAAACAAACTTGGTCGGTTATATTCCTAAATGAGACAGGCAACTTTTTATAAATCTTTGAATGCAGTTGTTACTTGTGTTTGAAACTAAACTAATGCTTCATAATCATCATTAATACCCATTTATACTTCCCACTGCTGGACAAAGTTTATTTATGACTTTTGAAGTTTCTAACACAAGTTATGTTGCGTTCTTTTTGGTCTATTATCATTTAACTATGTTGTACGACACTGTAAGTATTAGATTAAAAAATAGTTTACAAAATAACATTTGTTTCATCAAAATTTGCGCCCTATCTATACACTACCAATATACTTCTACCGCCTTAACGGAAGCTCATTCATGCCTTTGTGGTAGAATAGTGGGGAACGGGAATCGATAAAGTCTTGAAAGTTATTTGCGACTTCTTCGTAGAAATTAAGTTGTTTGGTTTATAGCCGTTCACGCGATACATGCAGCCGTAGACGCATACCACACCTAGAGGTGCCGGTGATGATTTTATACCGATTTATCGGATATCGAAGTTATAACAGGTAAAAGAACTAATAATAATTGCTATTTCGGTAACTACTCTAGAAAACCGTAAAGTTTTTAATGCCTGGATCTGTTATTTAAAAAAATAAACAACTTCAAAAATACGTCACGACAATCGTGTGTGTTATTGTTTGGGCTGGTGATTTCGGTGTTTATTTATTGAAAACATACCGTAAGTAGCGTTTTTTAAGTTTACCCTGAATATAAATGTTTATAAACTATACTTTAAGGAGTAATTTCATGGTAAACGTTAGAACCACTCAAACGGAATATTATCATCACTGCCTCCGTGGCCGAACGGTTACCACGGGCCGGACTGCCACGCAGAGGTCCCAGGTTCGATTCCCGGGCCGGGAGAAATGTTTGTATGGCCTACATTTATTTCTCTCGTGAGTTTGGGTGTAATTTGTGGCTGTCTATATGTGTGTCCATGGCACCCGCGACACAGGGTTTCCCTAGTGCGGGGCTATGTTGAGTGTGTGCGTTATTTATTATTTATTTATTATTATTATTTATCATATTTACCTAAGTACACCAAAAATTTAATTAGTGCAGTGCAGTGGTGTGCGGTGTATTACTGCATTTTATTTGAAATGTTTTTGTTGTAGTACGGAGGGTATTTATTTAGCTATGCAGAATAATAATTTTTATTTATTAAAACTTGTATTTAAACTGAATCCTTTTCTAATTTGCGAAACCAAATCGCCGCCATTTTGCGTTAGGATGAGCGCATCGCGTGAGCGGATAG